TCTGGTGGTCTCTACTTGCCCCTGGGCTGCAGGGAAGGCAAGTGGCAAGCTGCAAACTGAACTGAGACCCAGTGGGAAGATGCATCAGAGATATCCCAAATTAGCCTGGACCCCTATACTTAGCAGGGCTCATTCAGAGAGATGATGGGGACCCTGGGCCCTCAGGAGAGGCCGGAAGCCCTGCTTGGGCCTCCAGTGTATGGGGTGCTAGGGAGGACGCTGAGGAGCTGCCGCTGTCAGCCCCATTAGCACCACCGTCATTATCCCAGATTTATGTGTGTGTAATTCTCATCCACCTCTCCGAACCGTTCCTGCATCTCCCCTGGCTGCAAACCCGACTTCGCCGGAAACAGCCGTGGAGCTGCTGCTACCGGGCCATTAGCAAGCAGGGAAGGGGTGGTGGGGGGAGGGAGCAGTCAGCAGGGAAGAGTGGGGGGCGGGGACAGAAGGAAGGAGGAGGAGGCCGGAGCTGGGAAGGATGGAAAAGGGGAAGGAAACAAGGCTGGGAAGGGAGGGAGAGCCGAGGCGGGTTGGGGGCGGGATGGGGGCACGGTCCCAGAAGGCTTGGCTGCTGAGTGCTGTCCCAGGGGCAGCCCAAGATCTTCTGTGTCCTTTCTGGCCAATGCCAAAGCCGATGGGGGACTCAGCTGAGCACCTTAGGCCCAGGAGTTACTAGAAAGCCACACGCCTCCCCCACCCCAAGCCCCTAATTCTGGGAACCAGCACCGCAGGCCCGCCCCACTTGCAGGGCTGCCCCTGCGGAGCCCGCAGATCTGGGGGGGGNAAAAAAGCATCACCTGGATTTTCCTCTCCTTTTATTTCCTCCCTCATCTTTTGTCCCTTTCCTTGAAGGTAGGACTATATCCTGTCCCTATGTCCACCTTGTGGAACACACAGCAGTTGTTCAAATATCCACAAACATGGGCTCAGCACCACTGCCCCCAGCATCATACCCTGACTTTATTATTTAAGCATCGCTCTCCACACCAGGCTGTGAGCACACTGAAAGAAAGGGGCTATTTCTGCATTTCACTCATTTATGGATCCATGGTCCTTCCACCCCCGACAAGAAAGCCTGATCCACAGCCAGCTTTGGGGTGAGGGAGATGAAGAGTTGAGCACGACTGAGTCATTCGCTGTTTCAAAGCTATCCTTGGCTTCTCAAATTCTTCAAAGTCGAAACCTGTTAGCGTGGCTCCAATGGCCCTGCCCAATCAATTCATCCAGTTTCATCTCCCGCCAACATCCTACACCTGCCCTGGCCCCAAGCACCTCCTAGTCAGACCCACTGACCCATCTGTGGTCCCCATCTCACCCATGATGCTCTGCGCTCTGCCTCTCTGAACATCCCTGTTTGCAAACCTAGATGCCCTGCTCTGTGTCCACCTCCTGAGCCTGGGGGCTTGATACCCAGTCCAGCCCACCGATGAGATTTGTTTGGCCAAGGCAGGGTTTTTAAAAGTCTAACGAGTGGCCAGCTTTTAAATATCAGGCGATGGTTGCATAAAAATCTGGATTCTTGGCTTTCCATTAAAAGATGCAGCCTCTGGGAAGCTGAGGCCGCCATCCCAGCTAAGTTAGTGCTGGGTGAGGACTGACTCCTCCCTCTCCCCCCGAGGTGAGTGTAAACGTTTGCCAGTTCTCACTTGGCGAGTGATTAAGGGGACTCTGGGCCCAGACTGCNTCCCACCCTGGGTCCCAAACCACCCTGGGCCCCCCCTCCTCCTTGCCTACTCCCTCATCCTCCCTCAGCAACAACGATGAGAGTTTCAAGGCCCCCTCCCACCCCCACCCATCCCAACCTTCCTGCTTCACGGTAGGGGAGCTTCCAAATGCCTGAAAATATCTTTAAATTAAGAAAAAGAGCTAAGCCGCCAGGGTCCTTTGGTCTATGAAAGGAAGAGCAGAGGCCATCAGGCCCCCACCCCCCTTGACTCTCATTTTGCATTTGAAGTCCTGACACCGGAGGATCCAGCTGGAACAATGACGGGACCAGCCCAGCCGGCCCCTGCTGCTTCCCTTTCAGAGGCCCCGTGCCCCCTGCCAGGTGTGCCAAAATTAGGATGGCTCCCTTCTCTGGCCCTTTACATCCCCTCGGGGCCGCTGGGGCCTCCGAGGCGCTAATGAAGCTCCTGTTGCTACCTTCCCTTCAGGCAGAGCTGGCCTGGAGGAAGCCGAGGCTGGAGAGGCAGGACCATGCCTGGAAATCTGTCCTCGAAGAACTGTCCCCAGGAAAGTATTCATGTGCCTGGTCCAATGAGGGTTTTCATGCAGCACCCACCCTTCTCCCCTCCTGGCACCTCCAATCCCTCTGGGTCCTGGTGACATTGGCCTCCTCCAGGCAGCCCTCCCAGCCTGCAGGCATTGGCTTCCTACTGTACCCACCTCTTTTTGGCTGTGCCTCTGGGGTAGCTCAGTTAACCTCTCAGAGCCTCAATTTCCCCATCTGTAAAATGCAGATAATTATGAAAACCATGTCATGAGACTTTAATGATGTCAAAGGAGGTCATACATACAAATTGGGTACAACAGTTCTTAGTCCTGTTGCTCCAGCCACACCAGCCCCTCACTGAGCCCAAACACACCCGGCATGCTCCCATCTCCGAGCTTCCCACTGGCTGTTACTTCTAGGTATCCCCACAACCCCTTCCTCCCTCTCTGCTCATATGTCACCACCTCAGAAGGGACTTCCCTGGCCACTAAGCTATCACCAGGTTGTTTACCTTCACCTCTTTTATCACCACCTCACACTGTGTTACTTACCTGAGCCCCAGCTCTGGAACCCAAGGACCTAGGTTCGAATCCTGACTTCACAGCTATTGGCTGTGTGACTTTGGGCATGTTACTTAACCTCTCTGAGCCTCAGGTCTTTCATTTATAAAATGAGGATCCTAATAACCTACCTCACACAGCTGTTGGGGTAAATAAGTGACTTAGTGACTGGACAGCCCTCAGAACAGTGCCTGGCCCACACTAGGTGTTATTCACAGAACTAATATTGTTTGTATTATTTCAGGTACCCTCTCTCCCCCTCCCCCCCTTAACTAGAATGTATGCCCTCTTTGAGGGCTAAAACTTCAGGGGCAGCATTCATTTTATTCACTGCTGCATCCCACATAGTAGATGCTCAATAAATATTTGATAAATGAATGACTAAACAAGGCTCTACTGGACCTGTCAAAGCCTCAGTTTTCGCAACTGTAAACGAGGATGATAATAGCATGTTCCTCACAGATGCTGAGGATTCCATGAGATAAATGCTACTGCCTTGATTCTAGGGGTGGCAGAAGTCAGCTGGAGAGAGAGGGGGAGGTCAGGGAAGGGTGAGCATGTTATTATCCAAGCCTCAGTGGCTTCATCTATAAAATAGTGGTAAAAACAGCAACGTGCTGTGGTGAAAATCAGATAAGTGACCTAGAGGGATATCTAGGTGACCAGGGGAAGCTGGTTGGTGCTGGTGCTGATACCATTGAGCTGCTCACCTCCAGCAGCCCCAGGTGCTAAACTCCACATTGTTTGATGAGGAAAAAGCAATTTTTCTGTTTAAGATACTGCAGCTCAGGTATTCTGATACTTGCAGCCCAAGGCAGTCCCAAATAGTGACATTAAATTTCCCTGGATCTCTAAAAATGCTCAGGACTGGGTAGCTGTTCACTGATTTAAAAATTGTTTTTCTTTTATTACTCTTTTTAGTTAACAGAATATGGATTGAGGCTCAGGCAATGCAACAACAATAACAAAAAATGGGAGGAGAGTGGGTGCATTTGAGTAGGCCCCTGACAGTCCAGGAAGCTGTGACAGGAGACTGTCTATGAGGGAGGGAGAGTATTACAGGATGAATTGTGTCCCTCTGAAAAAGATGTTGAAATTCTAACCTCCAAGACCCCAGAAAGTGACCTCATTTGGAAATAAGGTTATTACAAATGTATTTAGTTAAGATGAGGTCATACTGGAGTAGGCTGGGGCCCTAATTCAATGTGACTGGATTATACATTTATTCTAAAAAAAGAGACACAGGCTCAGATACATATGATAACAAAGACAGAGATTGGAGGGATGTGTCTACAAGTCGAGGGACACCAAGGATTGTCGGCAGCCCCCAGAAGCCGGAAGGGGCAGGAAGCATCCTCCCCTAGAGCCTCGGGAGGGAGCCTGGTCCTGCTGACACCTTGATTTCAGAATTCCTGCCTCCAGGACTGTGAGAGAGAATACATTTCTGTTGTTTTAAGGCCCCCCCCAACCCCCCCCAGTTTGTGGTACTTTGTTACAGCAGCCCCAGGAAACTCATACAGGAGGGCTGAGAAGCAGGGAAATACAAAGCAAATGATTCACGTGGGCTTTGGCTGCATGACTCTGGACCTTTGTCTGTTTAGCACCCTGCAGGCCCAGGGCACAAAGATGGACAAGGAGGGTCCCCTGTCCATGGGCACAGCACCACTCCATGTGCGGGGAGCCTTCCAGCCTTCCAGAATCTCCCCAGGCAGAGTTACTACATCCCAGGTTCCCTCAGCACAGGTTTAGGTGGCTGNAAAATATTGAAATCTTCAATAAAAAGACAGCATCACTGGGCTGGCCAAGTGGCGCGTTGGTTAAGAGCTGGCTTGGGACGCCAGAGGACCCCGGTTCGGATCCCACATATGAGGGCCAGTGACACTGCCCTCTACAGCTAAGATGCTGAACAACAGCTCAACCTGAAGCTGGGCTGCTGTGAGTTGCCCGCGACGCAACGGCATAGGTTGCAGCCCCTGCTGCAGTGGGTTGCCGTGGGCTACCGTGGGCTACCATGTGTAGCCTGCAGCCAGCGTGAGCAGCCAACAGCCGTCATGAGTGGCCGTCCAGAAGCCGGCGACTGATTTGCCTCGCCTGGGAAGAGCGCAAAGAGCCAACTTGGGCCAGTGAAGCAACGTCCTCCACAACTAGACTAAAGAACAAAAGGACAGCAACTTGTCTGTTCCCCTTCCCCCAATTCCCCGGCACTGTTCCCATCCCCCAATTCCCCAATAAAAATCTTAAAAAAAAAAAAGACAGCATCAGTATTCCTGGCTTTCTCTTTCCTTCAGGTTCCAATGTGTCTCCACATGGCATTCTTACTGATCCTGCTTTATTTTAAAAGTTGATTATTTTAGTCATCGTGGGTTTTTGGCATGAATTTTGTGTTTCTTAAATATTACATTGCAATTTATTTCTCTTGATCACTGAGTTTTTTGGCGTCCTCTTAAATTTTGTGGCCCAGGAAGCGCCTCACTCCCCTCACCCTAATGCCAGCTTTGGCAAGCCTGGTATTCCCTCCTCCCATCATAGGTGTTTGAGGATGAATCGATGAGCAGGAGGGACGCTGGGAGCTGCACAACTGCCAACCCCATAACCCTATTCCTTTATCTCCTGCACAGCCGGGTAGTGACTCCAAGTGACCAAGTCCAAGGGCCAGACAGGCTTGGCTCAAAACCTGTGTTTTAACTATTTGGGTGAGTTATGGAGCCTCAGTTTCCCCTCTGTAACCTAGGGAGAAAGTACCCACCCCACGGGGTAATCATAAAGAGTAAATGAGACTGTCAATGTTAACTTGGACCATTGCTCAGCTAACCTGGGCCTTTCTCCAGTCATCACTTGACATCTCCATTTGAACATCTATTAAATCAAAGGTAACTCCTGGATTTAACCTTCAATACTACCCCTCCCTCCACGGTCTCCATCCTTCTAGATGTTCAGGCCACAAGTTTTGACTTGCCTCTTTCCCTCACATCCCACTTCCAATCTATCTGCTCCATCCTCAGAATACAGCCAGAACCACCCACTGCTCACCTTCACTGTCACTACTACCAACATTGATCACCTGGACCAATGCAGTCACCTTCTCCCTGTCTCCTAGCTTCTGCTCTTGACTTCCACACTCTGTTTCCCTACAGTGGCCAGAGAGTGCCTGTGAACATCTAAGTCAGAACATGTCACTCCTCTGCTCAAGAACCCTCCGTGGCTCCCACCTCACTCAGAGCAAAAGCCCAAGTCCTTCCCAAATACAACAGGCCGGCACAATCTGCCCTATCACCTCCCTGCTCAAAACTTCTTCCCCCCTCACTCACTCCCTCCAGCCACACAAGCACCTTTGAACACCCAGCACATTTCTGCTTTAGGACATTTGCACAGGATATTTCCTCTTCCTGGAATGCCCTTCCCCCAGTCCCCCCTTGACTCCTACCTGGTGGCCTCAGGTCTTTATACAAATACTACCTTTATCTAAATTGCAGGCATCACCATGCCCTCCGTCTTCCTTCCTTAATTTTCTTGCATAGTACTTAGCAGCATCTGACATTCTGTATCTTCCATTTGTCTGATTTCTTATCTCCTTTCCTGATTAGAACATCAGCCCCAAGAACAGAGGATCTTTTTTGCCTTGCTCACTGCTGTGTTCCCACACCAAGCACAGTGCCTGGTGCACAGTAGGTGCCCAATAAATGTTTGTCGATTGACTGAATGGTTCCCTCCACAAAGACAGCAATTAGGATGAATTCTCACCCCCACTCTATCCTCCCAGCCCAATGCTGAGACCTCTTTACCTTGCTTTTCACTTGGGTAAGGGTGTAGGACAGGATGGGGCTCAGACATTGCCTAAGGTGGGGATACAGAGAGGCTCCAGGAGGGCCAGGGGCACACAGAACCCCCGCTGGCCCACCCCTCAAGACTCGGACAGGTCCATCATCCACTCCCCTAGCACCCTACTAATTTTCTAGGGCTAATTCTGTTGTGCCTTCTGTGTCTGCCTATCAGGAGGTTCCTGAGAGGGTTTCTAGTCTTGATTGTGGGGCACTAGGCATTCTCAATGCCCAGTATGACAGTCCTAAGGGTACCTGCGGGCGCTCTGTGAGGAAGAAATGGAAGAAGTGAATACATGAACTGAATGATGAAATGGAGGCCTGGGCGTTGCCCTGGTTCCCCAGAGTCCAGAAACGTGTTTCTCTCCCCTCCCCACCTTAATCCTCCTTTGCAGGACCTAAAGGGCCTGAGGCAGGACACTCAGAACCAGGGAGCGAGGCCTGAGGCAAAGGCCGCAAAATACTGGGGACAGGGGAGGGTGGAGGAGCGCAGCACCCAGGAGCATCAGCGTAGGGGCCAGAGGCAGTGGGCTAACACATGAAGGGCAAGGGCAGAGGGCACAGGTGAGCAGAGTAGTGTCTGAGGTCGGGGTGCCCCAGGTGATAGGTGCATAGCATATAGGGGCCCCAAGACGCGGAGGATCAAACATGGGTGTCCTAGGCGCGGGAATCCTGGGTGTGGGGGTTTTCTGGCATGGGGTGCCCAGAAGGCGGGGTGTCCAGACACAGTGTTCAAAGGACGTGGGGTATCCAAGGTGCGGGGCACGCTGGGCGGGGGAGTCTGGGGGCGCAAGGTAGGGTGCGCGAAGTGAAGAGCGACCGGGGTGGGAGCAGGGCGTCCGGAGCGCGAGTACCAGCCTGAGCGGAGCTGGGCACGCGGCGCCCAGGCAAGACTGCGCGCGCGCGAACGCGCTGGTTCTCGGATCCTGGCTGCTGGCTTGGCTTCCACTGCGGCTGCGCAGCCGAGGGTCTCGAAGCGGGGGTTCTGCGGCTCTTTTGCTCCCCCATCCTGTCCCCATTCTTCGCCTCCTGCGCCCCCCGCCCACGAGGCCAGAGACCGAGATGGAATGGAGGCTGGCGAATCGATCCCAGCCGTGACCAGGGGCGCTGCGCTGACCACGGGCGCTGCGCAGACCGCGGGGCGTTGGGAGACAGAAGAGGGGCTGGGAGGGGATCCTGGTAGGGATTTTTCCAAACTGAGTCTTGGGGCCCTTACAGTGTGCCACCCCTTCCCCTCATATAAGTAAAAGCCATCCCTTCTCGCAGCTTCTGGAGAACAAGTTAGAACCACCTCCTAGGCAAACTCATAGGATCCTAGGGTCTGCATGGGGAGGTGGATGGGCTGCGCACATCGGGAGGGTGGGGAGATGGGAGGTTTGGAGCCAGAGGGCTCTGAAGGTGCCCAGCTTTCCCCTCTTTCAATCCTTCTGGGTTTATAGAAAGCTGGCTGTCTGGATGTGGGGGGAGGGTGTCCTGGGTGCCCTCTGAAGCACCATCCCCACTCTCCAGCACCCCCAAGGTCTTCCATGAGTCCTACCAGGTGCTGTGGATATAGCTCAAAGTGGGAAACTAAGGTGCGGAGAGGCGGGACACCCCCACCCAGTAATTGATAGATTTGTGGCCAAACAGATGAATAGGATCTTTTCTGCACCTACCAACCTCTGCATTCGCATTTGGTCCATCAGATCCCACCGTCTGGCCTGGCCACCCAGATTCAAGGCCCCAGCACTGGAGCCATGGAGTCCTGCATGTGAAGGGAAAACGAAGGTGACCCACCTACGCCCTACACCCTGAAGTTTGGGGCACCCATGGGACCCAGGTTCCAGGCTGTGAGAATCCCTGACCAGTCCTGAAATGAAGGCTGTCCATTAAAGGGGTGGAGGGTGGTGGGTTGCCACAAAGATCTTCCCTGGTCACTCAGCCAGCCTGCAAGTCTGGTGTCTCTTCCTCTCCCTAAGTTCAGCCATCAGGACATGCTCCTTGGAAGGGATTCTTAGAGGCCAGGTTAATAAATTTAGGCTTTCTTATATATTCATAGTTCCCATGCAATTCTGCCCCAAGTTTTATGTATTTGCCACCCAACCCCTCCCAATGCCTCTTCCATACTCTTTTCCTATTTCTCACCCATTCTGTGGAGCCAAGTTTGGGTGGCTATACATTCTTCTCTCTGGAGACAGAGACCAGGTTTGTCCCCCTCCCCATCCTTAGGCCACCCCCTTCCTCTATAATCCAGGTCCATATTTGTCTGCCCTATTTCTCCCCACACCCCACTAATGTCCAGTCTGATCCGCTAAGATTCAGCCGCGACTTTGGACTTTGCTTTACTGTTTAGGCCTCACTTGGATGGACTCTCTTCCCCAAGGATCCAAGCCAGGGATTTGCTCCTCCCCACCCATCAGTCTTAAGAGTTTCACCCATCTTTCATAAAATGGAGCCAGCAGCCAGGCTTCCAGGTCTGGTCTCCCCAAATCCTCACGGGATCTTACCACTCAGGACTTTCTCCCTACTCCCCTCTCCAGGATTCTGACCCCTCCAATTTCTCCCCCAGCCCCCACGTTGCACTCAGTTGTCTATTCTGCAGAAGTATCTATTTTTGGCCTGGGGCCGGGTTTTATAGCCCCCACTGTGGGTCTTGGCAGTCAAGCTCTGGCTCCAGGGATCGATCCAAGCCAGGTTGGACCGAGAAGGGGTGCGGGGCTCCCTCTGCAGCCTCATCCTGAAACCTGCCCCTAGCCTCACTCGGCCAGATGCCTAGGACCCCGCTGGTTCCTTGTCTTTTTCAAATCCACCAGCTGCAAGTGTAGTTGCTAGGCTGTGGAAATCTGTACCGGGTTTTTGCTCATGCCGAGAATCTAAAATTCATTTTCCCCCCCCTCTCTTCCCCGTCCCCCGCCTCCCAAAGCAAGACATTTGAGGCGTTTCTAGATACTAACCTCCTCTTAACACTCCCCTCCGTCTCTGCTGCCTGGTCAGCTCCAAGCCCTTGTCTGGGTGCCCGGGATCTTCTGCTAGGGTCTTGTCCTGTCCGGCATACTCCAGTCCTGGCTTTGCGGCCCTCCCTCGTCTTTTATTGTAGGTCTGGTCTCCCAGGGTAGCGGCCTCCTCGTCGCTTGCCAGGCATATCGCCCTTGGATCCTGAAACCGCTTTTACCTTTCCCCTCCGGTGCAACCAGCGCTCCGGATCCCCTCGTGCCGTAGTCCAGCCCTCCTTTTGCCCCTCCCCCTTGCACGTCGCTGCCAGGAAGATGGGGGCAACCTACGCCGCCTTCCTGAGCCCCCCGCGAGCCCAGGTCCGGAAATAACAGACCGGGTCTTACTTGTTCCCACTGCATTAAGCATGACGCATTACTCCATCTCCCGAGGAAGGATCCGGCCCGAAAATTGCGTGCCCCCGGGTACATTTGGCCCAGTCGAAGCTTCCCACCTCCTCTTTCATCCCTTCTGTCTAATCCAACCCGGGTTTTGCATACCCCTTCCAGATTTCCCCATTTCTCCCCTCTCTGGACTCTACGCCTCTCCTTTACTTCCCAGCCGGAAAAATCCGCCCCGAGTCTTACTTGCACCCGTCTCCCCTCCCCCACTCCCCGTTCCGACGCTGATATCCAGCACGTCGCCTTCCCTCCATCCCGCTTTTCCAGAGGTGCTGGAAGAAGTGAAGGGGAGAAAACTCCAGCCCGGGTTTTTGGGCCTGCCCTCTGTGCGCCCGAGCAGGTTGCGGACTCCGGTCCTGGGCGGTGGCTCCGGCCCGGGTTTTGCGCGCGCCCGCCGTCCCCCTCCTAGAGCTGGTGCGCCCGGGAGCGGGGCGAGCAAGCGGCTTGTCATTGCCGGTACCCGGCGCCGGCTCGGTCCGCGCGTCCTGCGGTGCCCACTGGCCCGGCCCGGCGCCCCCCTTCCGGCCGCCCCGGGGGCGCGACGCCGCCGTGCCCGCCTCCAGCCGCGCCCCCACCAGGCGCTGCGCCGCCCGCCCCCCACTCGAGCCCCCCGCGGCCACTGCAGGGAGCCCAAGCCGTCGGCGCGGGAGCTGTCGGCGCTGCGGCGCCCCCTCCCCACCGTCTGCCGAGGAGGCCCCGGCGGATGGGGCCGCGCGGGCCCGGGAGTGGCGCCGCCGGGCGGCGGGGGGCTGCAGAGGCGCCTCTTCTGCCGCGTTAACCCCTCGGCCGCCGCCGTCGGAGGGGGCTGGGAAGTCGCCTGGGCGCACACGTGCCACCTCCGTCGGGGCTGCGGAGCTGCGGGGGAGATGCGGGCCGCAGCCGGCGCCGCCTCGGGGGGCTCCGCCTCGCCCCAGACCCTGGAGCTCTGACGCCGCCCCCGCCCCACCGCCTCCGCCGCCTCCCCACCCGGGAGGGGCGCCGACTCGCTCGCCCCCAGCCGAGAGCCGCCGCCGCCGCCGCCGCGAGGGGGCTGCCTTTGGAGCTGTGTGATCCTTTTTTTTTTTTTTTTTTTTTTTTAATTTTTGCTTGGTGGCGGCGGTGCTGGGCCAGGGGAAGGAGGGGACACGGAGCCCTCCCTCTCCTCGCCACCCCTCACCCGTTTCCCCCCCGTCCCGGTTCCGGGAGATGTGCCGGGCGGGGGGCCCGGCTTCGCGGAGCCGCAGGAGAGAAGCGCAGAGCCGACCTCAGAGCGGCGCTGGACAGGTGAGTGTCTGCAGGCTCAGGGCGAGTGGGACGCCGCACCTGGACCAGGTGTGCGGGCCAAGGGTGGGAGGTTGGAAGCTGGGGCCTCTCTGGGTCGCGTAGGGGGAGGGGATGCTGGAGCCGCGGGTCACCGCACCTGAGCTGGAGGGGTGTCGGGGGGCGCTCAGCACCTCATCCCCACCGGTGAGGGGACCGATAGGGGCGGCCCCCACGGGGCGCGGGGGTGCAGATGGGCGGCCGCGGGTACCCTGCGGGGGGAGGGGACCGCGAGTGTGCCCGCGCGTGGCTGCGTGTGCCCGCGCGCGCGCCAGCCTTTGTGGGGAAGCGGCGCGGCAGTGCCTGCGTGTCCCTGGTGTGTGTGCGCGCGGGTGCTTGGCGCCCTGTTTGTGTAGGTGTCTGGGTGTGAGCCGAGAGGGTGCGTGTGCACGCCGCGCGCGGGCCCCGGGCCTCGGAGGAGCCGTGTCTGGGGCTGGCACCGCAGGATTCTGGGCTGGAGGTTGTTTTTCTCTGGGAGGCATAGGTACGGGGGATGGGGAGGGGTCTGTCTGGGCTCCGCTATCAGGAGGAGGGGGTGCAGCCCTCAGCATCTTCTCTCCGTGGTACCCGGTTAAGCGTGGGAAGCTGTCGGGTGTGAGCCACCGGATTCGGGCTTTGAGGGCGAGCTCTCCCCCTCCACCAGGTGTTGGGGTGGGGGGTTTCAATTGCCATCCTCCCATCTGAGGGTCCTGGGACAGGAGTCTGGGCCAGAAGAGTGTGGGGAGTGCTGTATATGCTCCGGCCGTTTCCAGAAAATGCCCCTCCAGTGCACTCCTGGCTCCCCTCTGAAGACGGAACCCTGCCTGCACATAACCCCCACGAAAATCCCTGTCCATATACTCTTCTAGTCTAGGTCAACACCCGGTCTTATCCCTGCCCAGCACCTCACTGTACCTTCCTGGTCCTCCCCATCTCCCCCAGCCATGGCAGCTGCGTGGGTGTCCTTCCATCCCAGTCTTGAGGCAGGGCCCCTTTCCCTCCAGGCTTCTGCAGGACCCTGAGCCTGGGTTTGTCTGCCCACATCCAAACATGTGGTGTGCCTGGGGGAGCAGGGGGAGGGGTTCAAAATGGCTGCCAAGATGGCTGGTTGCCTCTCTCTCTCTCTCTTTCTCCCTCTCTTTTTCTCCCCCTCCCTTTCTCTCTCTCCTCTCTCCCTCTGCTTGCCCTGTTTCCTTAGCAGCTACAGGAGTCACTGCCGAGAGGGGGTTGGACAGTGTGAGGACAGGTGTTGGGGACTCCTAAAGGTGGATGTTTTCTCTGGGCCTGTTGACCTCGATACTGCTTGGGTAGAGGCCTTTGGTCTCTGCTTCCCTCTCCAACACCCCCAAGGGTCTGCATGAGCTTGTAACCTGACCCCAGACCCAATCTCTTCATGCAGGCTAACAGCTTGGGGGCTGGCTGCCTGCCTTCCACCAGGTTTCCTAGGCCTGGCACCCTGAATTGATCATTGGGGTGTCAGGGTGCCTCACGGAGTGTCCCCATTTCTCATCCTCTCCACCCGCCCAGTGGCCAGGGGCTGATGAGTCTGGCTGGGCCTGGGTCAGGCCCCAGCTGCGGGGCCAGGTGACTTCTCCTTCTCCCCCACTCCCCTCCCACTAATGCTGAATTTATTACTTAAAAGCTGGATGAAAACGGGGAGAATAAGAGAAGGAATACAACCTTCATTATCATATCGAGAAAATTATCCGTGATTTTCCTAACTAGCAATTTGCCTGCCATGCCGTTCAGAACTGACTTGCCCATTAATTACAGAGATGAAAAATCATCTGGAAAGAGGAAACGGGAACTAATTCGATCCCTGGCTGGTAGCAATAGCACCAAGCCACATACGTGTGCTCGCCCACATGTGAGCACCAGCCCTGCTGCTGGCATCACTACCTTCCTCCTCCTTGTCTTTCTTGGTGAACTCCTGCAGGGCCTCAGCCCGCCCCCTGCTTGTCTCTCCTGCTCTCTGATACCCTGCTAGGCCAGCTCTCCCTCCACAGGGTATGGGTCCCAACCCCCACTCGTGGGGGTCTGGCCTGTAAGGCTCAACCACCTGAGCTGATGCCTGCCCTTGGGCATGGAGATGGCGCCCTGGATGGGGGGAGGATCGGGAGCTGGGGACCAGCGCACCTGGGCTGTGGGCTCTGCAGGGAGGAGGTGGAAGGCTGGAGATTCCAAACCCAGTTCTATTCCCAGCCTTCCCTGGGGAGCCCCTTCTCCTGGGGGGCCTAGGAGGACCCTGTAGGTATGTGCGAGTGTGGGGGAGGGGCTGACAGGCGCTGAAGCTGCTCCCAAGTCTGTTTGCATCAAGGTCTGGGCTCCAGGCTGGGGCAGCTCCACCTGCGTGTGGGGCTGCATCTTGTGTGTGTCCTCCCTGCGAGCCCCATGGCTGGTAGGAGAGCATGTGGCGCTTCAGCCCCAGAAGGTTGCGCTGCTCTGCCCTGGAGCAGGCACCCCTAATAGGGCACGGGAACGGGAGCAGGAGCAGGACTCCCTCCATCCCCACCCACTGGCCACAGGGAGCTCCATCCGGGTCTCTGCCCCTTCCTACCTCTCCAGCCAGACGGGTGGCCAAGGACATGGAAGGCTCTGGTTTCTGTGTGGGCTCCTCGGAGCATCTGATTTCCGTCGGCCAGACACTTCCCCTCCTGCAGCCCCCTCAATGGGGAGGCAGGGGGAGGGGCTCCTAAAGTGCGGGTTCCCTGGGTCTGGAACCAGGATCTGACCACAGTGGCCCTGGAGATGCCTGAGTGGGCCAGCATCTCTCCTGTGCCCAGTCTTAGTCACCCTGATGAAAGAGGAAAGTGGGGTCTCAGGGTTGGAGGGGATCTCACTGTCCCTGGAATCCAGTCCTCTGTCCCTGTCTGTCTGTTTGCACCTGTGCGTATGCCAGTTCTGTGAGTGATTTGGATGGTGACCTGGCTGAGCCAGGGTGTGGCCATGTGTCATCAAGTTGCTCTTATATTCATAGGGGTCTGTTATGTGCCGATGTTTGTGAGTTTTGTGGAGGGGCTAGCCCTGTATGTGTGTATCTCCATGTGTGAGCAGCTGTCTGCATCCTGTGTGTACCTGCAGGTGTGTGCCCAGGTGTGTGTACACTGGGATCCTTGGAGCAAGGCTGGTCACCTCTTTATGCAATCAGTGACCATTTGTCAAGTGCCTTTTCCACCAGGTGCCGTGCTGGGAATGCCGTGGAAACAGTGCTCTTGGTCTTGTCCTCATGGAGCTCACAGTCTAGTGACACATAAGTGATTTCAGTCAAGGGCTCATATCATAGGAGTTGAGGAGAAGGCTGGGTCTCCCCCTCCAGAGTGGCCAGAGTCCTAGCCAAGGAGGGCAGCCCCAGACTTGGCAGCAGTCTCTGAGTCCCAGCACTACAGCAGTCCTAGGCATGGGGTGACCTGGATTTGATTCTACAAAATCTTTCCTGTCACCTCTTCCCCCTCACCCCCCTCTCTTCGCTCCTTTTCTAGCATGCAAAGCACAATTCTACCCCAGGACCTTTGCACTGGCTATCCCTCTACTTGGAACCTTACCCAGACATCTCTAAGACTTTTGCTTTCTCACCTGCTTCAAATGTCACCTCCCCAGTAGGTTTTACCCTGTGCAGCCTGTTTAAAATTGCAGCCTCCCACCCGCCTCCTGACTTTCCATAGCATGGATGGCTTTTGCACACTGTAATTTCCTGATTTATTGCACCTCATTTATCGTCTGTCTCCCTGACAAGGATCCAAGTGCTCAGAGAGTTCGTTACTTGGTTTGTTACTTGGAGTTTGTTCCTTGGATTGCAGGTGCCTAGACTCATACCTGGTCCATAGTAGGTGCTCAAGACATCTTACCTGAGTGAATGGGAGGGGGCCTCATAAAGGACCAGAGACTTCTGGGTGACTCCCGTGGCTGTTCACAGCTAGGGCTCCCATTGCCCTGGCCCTCTTGGGAGGATTGAAGGCTGCCTGTTAGGGTCAGGACTAGACCAGCCGCCTGTCCCTGGCACACCTAGGCAAACTCTCTAAAGTGGCCTCATATGCTTGTGGGTGAGGCTGAGTGGGCAGGCAGGTGGCTCCCCTATGGGGCTGTGTGCAATATAGAGTTTAGAGCTCAGAGGGAGAACATGGGGCCCCCCTGCCCTTGCCAGGGGTAAGAGCCTCAGGGTCAAAGCCTGAGCAGCCCTTCTCCCACCTCCTCCCGGAGCACTAAGCCAGCCTCTCTCTCATGGGCTAGGACCCATTGTTTCAGTCTGCCCTGGCCCAGGGGAACTAGCCAAGCAGAGGCCTGCTGCCACCCCTCCAACTCCAAAATTTGGGGAAGATAAAAATCTCAATAAATAGATGCCAAGGCTAAAAATAGTCCTGTCCCCCCTCCCTCAGAGGCTAAAGATACCCAGGAAGTCAGGTGGGGCTCCTGTCTACTGATGGGGAGGTGGTACAGGCAGGTGAGGTGGTGCAGGCAGGTGAGGGGCCCAGGGCAGAGTCTCTCAGCTGGGGCAGACCTGACATTGGGGCCACATCATTCTTTGTGGGGGGCTGTCCTGTGCATCATAGGACTTTTAGCAGCATCCCTGGCCTCCGTACTCTAAATACCAGTGGCATCTCCCCACCTCCCTACACACACTCTCTAGTGGTGCCACCTAAAAATGTCTCCAGACATTGCCAAATGGGCTGGGGTGGGGGGCAAAATCCTCCTCCTCCTCCTGTGTTGTCCCCCACAACTCCCACTCCCATTGAGAACCACTGCTTTAGATCAGGGGTCGGCAGACTTTCTCTGTGAAGAGCCAAATAATAAACATTGGGGACTCTTGTGGGCCTCTTACCAGCACTTTGCATATTCTTCCTCTGCCTCTTCTTCTCAACCCTTTGAAAGTAGCAAAACCATTCTTAATTCATTGGCTGTACAAAAACAGGTGGTGACCAGGCCATAGGCAGTCAACTCCTGCCCTAGAGCATCCCCAAATTACCCTGGTGGTGGAGGTTGGAGCACTTGTGGATGCGTCCTCATCGGCAGAGGGGCAGCCCCATTTGGGGCGAGTCCAGTGCAGCCTGTCCCTGTCACCTCCTTGCCCTCACTCATCCCGCTCTCCACCAATCACACTGGCTTACTCACTGGTCCTCAAACATGCATGGACCAACCGCAGGGCCTTTGCATGAGCTATGTCCTCTGCCTGGAACGTTTCTCTCTTCCTTGGACACTTCCCTCACCCTCACAGGACTTTGCTGAAATGTCGGGCTTTCCATGATATTAGTGTACCACAGAATTACTTCTTTAGTGCTCTTTGTGTCTGGCTGTCTACAGCTGTCTCTCCAGCACCTAGATCAGTGGCGTGCACATAGTAGGTGCTCTAAAAAAGATGTGTGGAATCGCTGTATATATTTCTAAGCCCCACAGCCACCATGTGAACCTTCTGTCCCATTTCCCCAGCAGAGAGAGAGAGAGTACAGAGGAGTAACGGGGGCCTCGTCACATGGCCTGAAGTGGGCACAGTGGGATTTGAACCCAGGACCCTGGGACTTAAGGGTGCCAGCACCATCTCCCTCTCCCCAGTCTCTGCCAGCGTCTAGTGGCAGCAGAGGACCCAGAGCTTTCTCCCATGCCCTCTGCTTCTGGCCTTGGCTTCTGTGACTGTTTTCAGGTTTGCTCTGCTGAGCCTAGAGTGCAAGGCTTGAGGCAGACAGTGAACACCATGGTGGGGAAACAGATCACAGAGCACTGTGGTACCACCCTCTGTTATGGGCAGCACAGAGAAGGTGCCTGGCTGGCCTGCAAGTCAGGGAGGGCTTCCTGGAGGAGGAGGCTTCTCAGCTGCAGCCTAGAGGGGAAAGTAAGGATAAAGTGGAGGGGAAGGAGAGTGAGAAGGAGGGGCTCACCCTGAGGTGAGAAAGAAGGTGGTGGCTCAAAGGGGAAAAGGAAAGATGTTTCGTTGCGGGGCATGCAGAGAGAGACTGG